TTCTTATAATATAAAATTAAATACTGCTATAATATAATCCTTATTTTCAAATATTATCAAAAAAAAATTATTTAAATCTGTTAAAATTTAAAAAAAGTAGATCATAATCATATTTATGATAATTTTCCAGGCAAATTTGTCTGAAAAAGCCTACAGTTTAAGGGATAAAGGGGATTATACCAGGGTAATACCTTACTTAGTAAAGTATAACAAACTAGCTAAATAAGATTCTTATTAAATAAATTTGCTCAGTAATATATGCTAAATAACTGAGTAATATGTAATGGTAAATTATATATTGTAACGGTAAGCTGTACATCAAAATGAATTTGTGTAAATTCTAAATTAACTTGTAACAAAATTTAACCGGATAGAGAATTATACAATAATTTATAAATAGATAATTCAGTACTTCTAATATCATATGATATACTATTCAATAATATCGCATAACTTAGTAGACATACGTGTTTGCAAAGTCATTTATATAATAAATAGCAAATTAAGTGGGATTCGAATTATGCCATTTAGTATGTTAAACTTATTAGTAGATTGAAATTCTTATTTACCAATTATTTTATATTATAATACTTTAAAAATAATTAAGTAATAATAATAAATACATTTAAAAAAATTAATTATTATTAATTAGATATATAGCAAATTGTTATTATTTATTATAATAGCTTAAATTTACTAAAAGCAAATAATTTTTGCGAAAGATCATTTTAGCAAAGCATAAATTTGTAAAATACAATTTAGTATTATACAAATTAGCAATATACTAATTTAAGCCTAATTCCTTTTTTAATTTAATTAATTCAAGTTTCTTACATTCCAAGCGAATTTGTTGTTCCTCAATTTCCAATTCTCACTCTTTAATTGATAACTGCTTTTCTTTGTCATCTTGGGTTAAATCAACATAAATTTTTGGTTTTTTTTTGTTAATCTTTCTTGAAATTCAGCATTTTGAGTTGAATTAACTTTATATTTGAATTTTTTTTGCTGAGTTTGTTTTTTGTTTGATTTTTGTAATCTCTTTACTAAAAAATAAAATACAATATAATTTAATAAATATTATATTCAAAATAATAAATAAAATAAAATAAAATAATTTAAACCTGATCATTTAATTGCTTTTGACGTGCTAATACTCTATTATTTTTATTAGATTTGCTAATTTTATATTTGTTATGAATTTGACATGTAATAAAATACCTTTCATCATAATGTTTAGCTCTATTAAGTTTAAAATATATTAGAAAAATAAAAAATTATAATTTAAAATTATAAAAATCAAATTAATATAAAATAAATTTAACAATTATTATAAAATGCACCTATGGTGGTTTTGCATCTATTATATGTTTTTTAAAATTTTTTAAGTTTTTATAAGTTTTGTATATAAAATTTTTAACCCCAATTTTTTCACATTAAAGTTAATATTAAGATTAGGATTAGGGTTTGGAAAGGGTTTTTGAGGGCGTAGAACATTTTTACTTAGAACACCTCACACCGATTAATTAGCCAGTTTTTGAGATAATACAACATAGGTGGTAAAACACCATAGGTGCGTTTTAGTAAAAGTGTAAATTTAATTATATACTTAAGGATTGCATTTTCTAAAGAAAGAGCTTTGCTATTCTGATTTATATTTGAATGACTAGCTTCAGCTATATTAGTATTATCTGAAGCTTTAAACCAAATATCAATATCTATCAATAAGAATAAATGATTTAATGAAGCTTAACCCACATAGTATTGTAAAAAGAAATCCAATCTAAAATAATAAAAAATTTTAATATAAATTAAATATTTAATATAAATTTTTATTTATTTATATAAAATTTTTATTTACCATTAATATTTTGTTCATTAAATAATTTTAATGTATCAAATATTTTATCAACATGTTTACAAGTATTAGCTTCAGTTAATTCATACATAAGCCTTTTACTTTCATTAGAATAACTATTATTTTGAATATTCCTATTAAATTAAATTAAATAAAATAATAATTAGTATATTTATAAAATAAATTTATTTAATATTTATATTGTATTTTTACCTATAATAATGAATACAGCAGCTTTTAAAAATATAACAAAGGTGCTCTTTTCAAGATAAAGTTTTATTAATATTATACAAAGATTTGCCTAAACCTTTGGCTTGAGCAGAATCTAAATCTCCAATAATACATTTCCAACTAGTATTATATATATGGTAAAATTGTGGAGATTTATTAGTTAATTTTAAAATCCAATCGAAGAGAGAATTAAATATTCTATAATAGGCTTCACTATCAGCAATATTAATAAAAACTCGTGCATAAGTTAATGCTATTAAAATATTTTAATATAATTAATATTAATTTTAAAATTTTAATTTAAAAAATAAAAATTAAAAACTTACTAAGATTATATTGTTCATTATAGCAATTAATCTCAAACTCATTAATATCTCTATAAACTCTCTTAAAAGATAAGTTAATTTCGAAATATTTTAAATCAATCCATGCCTTTGCTTGTAATTCAGATATACAAACAATTATTAATTGACCATTTGAAAAAACCGCTAAAAAATATAATTTGGTTAAAAAATTTTTATTATATAAAAAAAATACAATAATAAATTTTTATATACCAGATTGTTGTACATAATTTAAATAATTTATATTTTTTTCCCAAATATTATAGGTTAGTTCAAGAATTCCTTGACCAAATGAATAATAGCTTTTTTGTACTTTAGCAACAAGTCTTCTTAATTTATCAATATTGTTAAGTGATGCATGTACTTGAGATAAATAATTAACCTCAAATGTTGCTTTAATAAGATTACCTAGTATTAATGAAATATATAAATATATAAAATATATTATTAATATATTATAATAAATATAAATTTAATTATAAATATTATTTACTTGGAATAAGTTTTTGCGAAGAAATATTTACTATTTCTTCAGATGCTTCTTCTATCATAAATTTTAATTTATTTATGATTTTAAATAGAACTTTACTAGGTGGTGGTAGCAGATATTTATAGATTCTTTTGCTGATAAGAATTACATATGAACATTTTTTTGTATCATAAGGTACAATTTTAAAATACTTTAGATCACAATAATGCTTAATTATTGATCCTTCCTTAATAGTATTATTAGAATAACGATACAAAAATCCTAAATTAATAAATATATAATAATTCTAAATTAATAAATATATAATAATTATTATAAATAATTTATATTTAAATAATAATTAGTATAAAAAAATATTTACCACATGTTTTTCTTCTTGAACTAGATGGTAAAACTAATGAACAAGCTGCTAATTCACTTTGTAGTTCAAACTAAGAGTAAATAAAATTTTAATATTAATAATTTTTATTATTAAATTATTTAATAAACAAATTATACATACAGTTTCATTATTAAATAATCATTTCAATAAATTTATATCAACATCATTATTTAGTTTTTGGAAAAAGTGCTTTCCACTACTATTTTTATAAAACTATCAGCTACATCCAATAAACCAATTTTCAGTTGCTTGATTATTATATTTATTGCTTTTTTGTACAACTTTTCTTTCTTTATATTCATAATTATTAAAAGGATACTTTAATTCAACTGTTGCAAGATATTTACTAAAATACAATAAATAAATATATATATTATTTAATTTAATAAATAACTACTAATTAAATATACTTACATATATGTTTGCATTTCTATAGAATTTTGACTTGTTAAATTTCTATTTTCTTCTTGCATAAAATCGGTATCCATATCAACTTCATAGTATAAAGCATTTTGAATTTCATCACATGCAGGCTCATATCACTTTACATCTTGACAAGTAGAATGATATTTGTATATATAACAATCCAAGAAATTACACCAAACTTTGGTATTACCACCTCCATTAGGATGACCTTGTTGATATTGCATCTTAAATAAAAAATAATTAGATATATGTAATATAAAAATTTAAGATTAATATATTAAATTTAAAAATTATATTATCAAAAATAGCATTATATGACTCCCAAAAATCAATATTAAATACAATTGCGATTCTTTCCTCTGAAGTAGGTGAATACTCTATTGGTAAAGCAGAATATCGTATTTTGCCAACTCTTAAATTTTCAGTAATTAAATTAACTAATTCTGAATTATCTTCATCTTAATTTGCTAGTTTGCTCTTAATAACAAAATATTATTAATTATATTTTATTGTAAATTTTAAAAAATAATTAATAATTTACCGATTGAGTATTAATAACTTCATAATCATCAAAAGGCAAATAAGAAACTGGATTATCCAAGTTAATAACCAGAATTTCACTTCCCTCACTTTCAGAATTACTTTCAGAATTACTTTCATAATTACTTTCACAATTACTTTCACAATTACTTTCGTAATTACTTTCATAATTACTCTCATGACTAGTTTCAGAAGGATCGGTAAAATTATTTTCGCTATAATTATTTGTATCTTTCATAATTATAAATGAATAAAAGATAAATTTATTTAAGAGAATCATTAAATTGTAATTTAATTGATAATTTATATAATTGATAATTTAATTGATAAATTTTATTTAATGATTGTTTGATTGATAATAAATCGTATGATTTTTAATATATAAATTTCAATTAAAAATCTCTAAAACTAACAAGTGTTATTTAAATTATACTATTAAAGACTATTGCATAGTGAATTTTAAAGTTAACTTTAACTAATTATACTAATTTTTAAAATAACCAAATTCATTAAAGCCTAAAATCTATAATTTTTTTAAAAAAATTATGTAGCTAAAAGTTTATTTTTCAAAGCGACTATAAATTTATAATAGCAAATTGATATAGTAACTTAAAAGCGGATTGACCAAAATCATGGATACTTGAAACCAACAAAGTGAACAGACAATTAAATTAATATAGAATATTTTTCAATATCTATATAGCTATAATTATTGCCGTTTGATCATCCAATATGTATAATTCATTTCCTTTTGGTATTACTCTGAAAACTTCAATACATTACTCAGTTTATTAAAAATAAAACATTATCTTATTTAGCTAATTTATTGAATGTTACTGAGATAAAAATTTCCACCTTTATCATATTATTGTACTCAATATATCAACCGGACCTTACCAAATAACTATATAATCGAGATTCGCCACCAATATCAGCACCAACCAATAATGAAAATAAAAGATTGAGAACGAACGGCACAAACAATGCAACATTAGCACAACCACAACGCGTAATTAATTATTCGGCCTAACTTAAGTTTAGTGTTAGAATCAGGTGATAGTATAGTTTAGGCCAGTTTTGTTAATGCAAGTAAACAAATGACTTCATTGCATAATTTCATGTAATCTTCATGTGTCCCAATAAACTAATGCTGATTAACATTATTAAAATGTAAGAAGGTTTTTCTAATTTGATAGACGAGTTTTGATTGAATATATTTAGATGCGTATAAATGAGTTGGTGACATCATGCATAGGTAGTATTTTTTCTTTTATCGCTTATATGAACTAAAAGATTAGATAAAGCGAAACAGGACAAATTACCTGCTAAAAAAAATGTGTGTGATAAGGATTATTATTGCGTATAAAGTATTTTTGGTGAATTTGTGATAGTTTTTACGTATTTCTTTTTTAATTATTGCGAAGTAGTTTTGGTTCTGTAATTTAATTTAATAATTAAGCAGTTCGAGAAGTTATGAAAATAAGTGTAATTATTTGGCCACGTTTGACCATGTTAATTGTTTAATTTAGCTGAAATTAAGATAATAAAGGCAACTTGTGTATCGAATATATTTAATAAACTTAATAGTTCGAAAGTTGCGAGCGTACTAGCATAGTATATACAAAAAAATTCGGGTTAATAAAATTTGATTTTCGTGGCTCTTTACACTTGCAAGATTACCACTACTCATACTGCTATTCAGTCATTGCAATAAACTTATGGTGTAAAATAGAACTTTTCCAGAACCACACATACCGAATTTAATCCATCAAGAACACAATAGACAAATTTGGGCGTAAAGCGTAGCACTATGTACCAAAACGTAAATCTTGTATCACTTTGGCTGAACATTAAATATCCACAAATATGCAATAAAAATACTTTTTAAGTTATTTATTTGTTTAGCACAATTTCGTCTTTTAGCGTTAGCACTTTTAACATGATAGAATTACCGAATGAATGTCTTGAGGAAATATTTACTTATCTTAAAAATTATCCAAGAAATTTATTTTCATGTCTTTTTGTAAACCGTCAATGGTGTAGAATTATTGTTCCAGTATTGTGGAGCGAACCATTAAAATACTGCGGAAATAGAGAACTTATAGGCATATATTTATTATCGTTAAATACTGAAGAAATGATGCCATTAATTCCACTAAATGTATCACTTCCCAATAATCCAAAACTCTTATTTGAATATTCATCTTATACTTCATATGTTGATGATTATAATTTAAAAAAAGGAATTATACATTATTTTTACCCTAAGGAATATGAAGTCTTTATTATGATTATGATAATAGGGTTAAAGCAGTCGGATATTCTTTAGTTAGAATGTTAGCACGAACGAGTAAAAAAATCAAGTATTTAAGTCTTAGGGAAAGTTTTTGTAACAATTCAGTCATGATATCAGAAAATTTGCTTTATGAAAACACCACTATTGGTTTCTTAGATCTTTATAATAAGAACATTACATTAAGTTTTGAATCTATAAAAATACTGGCAGATGTTCTTCGTAAGAACAGCGATCTGATTTCATTAAAACTTCAATATTGTAATATTGATTGTGAGAAA